CCCTATGTCGTCTTGAGGTTATTTAGAATGGCAGGCATGACATAACCCAAACAGTATGTGAATAGCTGCCATCTGTATTGTTTGGGGAATAATTAATAAGAAAATTATTAATTATGTATGTGCTCAGTGTAGACTCAGTTCTTTTTGAATACATTCTCTCTTCAGTTATTTGAACCCCCAACTGAATCCATAGATCCAGGGGCCAACTGAACAGCTCTTGATGGCAGAAGTGGGTTAGAACCTATCACTGCCTAACACTGACGCTAACACATCTTCCCTTCCCTGACTAATGTGAAGTATAGGGTGTACTCTCAGCTCTAATGGAAATGCAAATATCTATACCGTTGGAAGTCATAAGGAAAACGACTCAGTTTTGGGGAGCCTTTTCTATTCCTCTTATTGGCCTAGTAAGGGAGGCAGCTCTATGGGGGTGATGTTGGGGGTTTGACAAGTCTGTGTTCTTCCTTCCCCCTTCCAAACAGAAGAGTCATCCCCCAAATCTTTAATAATAAACCATGCAACATATCAGGCATTTATAGTCACCACAGTGCCTGAACTCACAATCTATCACATTGCTTCTATTTCTCCAAATAACATTTGAATCTGTCTTGCGCTTCCACCTGGCCCGGTGGGTGAGTAATGCAGGTAATGAGCCTGTCACTGCTAATCTTGCATTGCATAGCTCTCGGGATTCTTGAAGACAGGCCATTGTGCCTTACTGGCCTGACTGGGTGAGCAGAAAGCTGTTCGCCTTTGCCCTTCCCTGAGCAATGCCCCTGAAAACTAGAGCTCTTGGTATCTGGCAAAAGCATGCTCCACTAAGCTTAGGAAGTCACTAGTCACTGGATCTATGGGTAGGTTGTTACATAGGAAGAAAGAGAAAAATCCAGAGAATGCCTAGCCCTTCCCCCTGTATTAGTTACGGCCACCCCACTATGACAAAATGTGTCTGAGTAAGTGACCTAAAGAAGGAAAACTGGATCTAGCCCATGGCTTCAGAGGGTTTGGCCCATGTTTTGAGGGGGAAAGGGCCCACTCCCAGCACCCTACTTTCTTCAGCTGAACCCTGTTATGAAATAGTCTTTTTGTACACTGTGAAGGTGGATTGTCTCATCAATTTAATAAAGAACTAATGGCCAATAGCTATGCAGGAAAAGGTTAGGTGGGACTTGTGGACAGGGAGAAAGAGAATATGGGGATGAAGAAGGATGGAGTCGCGAGATGTAGAGAGAAGCAAAGTGAACATGCTGTACTGAAAAACATACCACCACATGGTAGAGTGTAGATAAGAAATACGGGTTAATTTATGATGTAAGAGCTAATTAGTAAAAATCCTAAGCTATTGGCCAAGCGTTTATAATTAATAATAAATCTCTATGTGTTTATTTGGGAGTTGGCTGTCAGGAAAGAGAAATGCTGCCTCAAAATCCTACCTCCTGAATGTTTTAAAAACCTCACCCCAATTGGTGACCTCACGAGTTTGGTAACCAATATGTACCACATGAGCTTACAAAGAAATGTCAATGATACTCACTGGGTGGTTGGGGGGGCTATTATTGGAAAATCAGACTTGTTCTTCCATCGTCATTTCTGTCAGCTCAGGCTCCTGCTGGCTTCTGGGAACCAACATGATGCAAAACTGTAGGGGGAGTTGGGAAGAAGGCTGCAGTTTTCTGCTCCCATTTTTCCTAATGCCCTGGATGGCATCCCTGATAATGTGTGCCCTCACATTTTCTCCTGGTGTTAGTCTGTAAGAGGACATTGGTGCTTTCGTCCACTGAGGAGAAGTCCTTACCAGACTCCTCTCTCTTTTCCTCCCTTACTTTGCTGGTTGTGTGCTAAGTGTCTCGCCTTCCCTTTCCCCTTCTTCTTGCTCCCACCCTCCTGTTCTCACTCTTACCCATGCCTGTCCCCCTCCCCGTCTCCAGAAGCTTCCTCACCTATCCCTACAGGACTGTTAAAGCCCCTTGCATCTGGCTCCCTCATCCCCTGACTCTTCCGTCCTGCATGGGGAGAGGAAGATTTCAGATTCCTACGCTTTCCCAGAGGTGCACACAAGTCTTGTCTTTCAAACTACCCCACACCGTGATGGGATTTAGATCCTCATCCCACAGGGTGAGACAGGAATGGATATAGAAGGGGAACTGGGTTGCAAGATGGGGGAGCTTAGAACCTCTGGAACTAACATAGAGGGAAATTCAGGATGATTGTCAGCTCATGCACACACAGCAATGGTCATCTCTGCTGCTGTGTGACTAAGTTCCAAAGACATAGCCCAAGAGTGGGGGCCTGCTGTCCAGCATATGTGTGTTTTATGCCGGAAAAAACCTACTAATAAAGGTGACGTCCTCAATGCTCAACAAAAGCTCAGAACTTTTTATCAAATCTTCTAGTGACTTACTCCTAGAGAAGCATAGAAAACTTTTTCTTGGCGAGCAAACTGTGTTCAGTACAGAATGAGCCTCCCAAGAACCAGAGATAAAAATAGACATCTGTATCCTTTGCTGAATAGCATCAGAGGCCAGAAGAGACAGAGGGGTTGTGAACCCCTTTATTTTGTGACAGGAGCCGTTCACTTGTTGAATTACTAAGAATTGTGAAGATACAGCTAGGATGGCATGCAGGACAATGGTTTTCAACCTGTCTGCAAAACTCAGAGTTCAGGGAGCTCCACAGGAAACCATCATGAAACAGGACAAGGGCCAAATTTACCAAGCCGTTCTCTCCCCAGTTTCAACCAGGCACACTGCCTTCAAGGACTTGTTTCATGTCTGACAAAATAGTTTCATAGATATGTGAAGATGGCTCGGTGGATGGAGCACTTGCTGCAGATGGTGGGAGACCCTGCATACCTGCCTACAAGGATAAAGTGGAGAGTATGCAGGAAGATGCTCAACATCGTTCTGCGCTTCTGCCCTTCAGCATCCAGATGCCAATGTCAGACCTGTCCATTCCCCAACTCTGCATCTCTTCTTTTTATATTTTCAACTTCCTTTTTAAAATTCATTTTTACTAAGTTCCTCAGCTCTGCTTCCAAGTTTCTTAATTCTCTCTGCATCAGTTCTGAATGCGTGCATTATTTCCTCAACACGTGCCCGAAAGTTGTCGTTCGGAATATGATATAGCATTCCTGGTGGCACCCCAACTGGAGCAGTTAATACTTTTTTTAAGAAAAATGTGCATATTTATTTTAAAGTATGTGAGAATGTGGGGTTTTGTACATGTGAGTGTCATTCCCACGGGACCAGAAAAAGGTGTTGGAGCTAAGGTTATAGTTAGTTGTGGGCTGTCTGACGTGGCTGCTGGGAACTAAACTTGGGTCCTGTGGAAGAACAGTGTACGCTCTTAATCACTGACCCATCAGCCCTGGTCATTTAACTCTTCAAAAGCATTTCTTATTATGTTAATTTTTTGTTTGTTTGTTTTATGTCTGGACAATTGAAGCTTGGAAGTCTTTAAAAGTCTGTGCCTGTGACCTTGGTACTGACTTTCATTCTTCCCTCTGGTATGTTCCATAAGCTCTTGTTAGTAGGATAGCTCCTAACTAATTTTTAATTGTACTAATCCTATGAGCCCACTTTAGATAGACCCCACTCTAAAGAGAATTTCCAGTGTTTCCTTGGAACCTCACCTGCCACCCTGTGAGGAGAGGCCAGGCACGTGCACACCTCAGCCACACGCCCTGTGCTGAAGCCTGATCTCACAATCAAACGCGGGATGCCCAGCTTGTCTTCCGGGGAGCCACATCTTTTGCATTTGCTTCCTGCTCTCTGTTTCCACCTCTGGTATCAGCTCCCAGTTTTGTTTTAGTTCTGCTGAGATGCGGGGGAGGGAAGGGTACCAGAGTTGTCCTTAGCAATTTCCCTACAGCTCACAGTTTACCTGGAATATTAAAAACGCCGTGCTTTCTCTGAGGCCTCACCGCAATTCCATGGGGTAGCCCCGACAGGTGTGCTGTTTGCTGTAAGGCTAGATGGGGGCGGGGACCTCTTTCGGCTCAAGGAACCCTGTTTGTGGAGTCCCCTTGCTGCAGCATGTGCTGATGCATTGGGGTTTAAAGGCTTGCCATCGTATTCTGTGAGAGTCCGACAGGCAAGCACACAACCCTAAAAAGACTCGCTGAGCTTTGTCTACCCCAAGGGCATCTCTAAATTTTCCTCTCTCGCTAGAGTAGGCTTTGGCAGAGTAGTAGGCAGAGGCCTCTCTGATCCTGTCTGTCTTTCTTTTATCCCCTCGCATGTTGACTAAAGTCTTTGCTTGGGTTGCAAAGCCCTTGCATGCACAGGGCCTTGCCTGTCTTCTCAGGAACCCCCTGAGCACAGCATTAATGTGTCCACTTCAGAAGAGGACTCTGAAGTCCACAGAGGTCACCAGACTTACCTAGGAATTTAAAGTCTGTTTATCGGCTCCTCCTGCCCCCTAATCTATTCCTTTTCCACATTAAACCAGGGTTCCGCGACCAAGGAAACTGCCCCCAATGATTCATTCATTCCTTCTTTGAGTCTGACATTATTGATCTTCTGCTATGCACTATTCCGGGTGTGATATTACTGACAACAAAACCTGGCCCTTAACACCTCAGATTACAGTCTAGCTGGCGGCAGAGAATAAATAAGCAAGCAGCCATATAATTTAGCCAAAAAGCACTCATTTTCTTAGACAGAGAAAGGGGGAGTATGGGACAAGATGAATGACATGAAGGAAGGAGCTACGGGCAGAACCAGGAGAAAATCCTGCCAGGAAGAATTTGCCAGCGCACAGCCGAGGCGGAGAGTGTGTTCTAAGGCTACTGAAGGGTTCTGAGACTGCAGGGGGCCATGCAAACCAGAGAGCCTCAGAGAGATGGGACTGGGGACCGCATTAAGGAAGATCTAGGGAAGGCCTGTGAGGAAGAACTGAGAGTCTGGCCCCTGGAATTGGGCTTCCTCCGTAAAGAAGAAGTTGTGTACTGGGTGATACTGGCTTTAACAGCAACCTCTAATTTGCTTGTCTCTCCACAGGCTTACAGGTTTTCCCAGCTTCCTGAAATGGTCATGGGCTCTCCCCCGCCACCCGTACCTCCCAGGACAGGCCCTGTGGCTGTGGCTTCCCTCAGGCGGTAATGCATTCAGTTCTTGACTTTGTTTGAGATATTTGGGAAAGAGTTGATCCCCAGACTGTCTAGTCCTGTGAATGACTGTCCCAGGAAACTCTCTCCATTCCCTGCCCCCAGTTTAAGGTGTATCCCCTGTGGCCAGGGCACAGGAGTATCATAAGGGAAGTGGAGACCCCAGTATGTCTTTCTAAACAGAAAGCCCCTGCGACCCCACAATCAAAAACGCCCCAGGTCAATTGCCCTGTACCTTGATTGCCCATACCCTGACATAATAAGAAGCTTGGCTCCTCATCCTGTGCTCGCATACCCAGAAGTCCCCTTGTTATTTATAGGGCAGTGTCTCCGGGGCCAGGGAGAGCGGGTCTGGGCTACCCACTCCCAGACTTGACTTTGCAGAGAGGCAGAACTCGTGCATCTCAGCATGAGGTAGTTGTTAACCCAGCTCTTTGTGCTGATACAGCCAGCACAGGTCCTTGAGAAAGTGGGACAGGAGACAGGAAAACCAGGAGCTCTGGGGAAGGATGAACTAATTCTGATCCCCAGGCTGGGGATAACCCTGGGGGAATGCGTGGGTTACTGTTCCGGCGCTGCTCCACAACCTCCCCCAACATACTCATCAGCTGTCTGTGGGCCACAGGCATGGCCCTTGTGAAGATGCTTAAGAAACCGAAAGTGAGTTTCCCTAGAGAAGACACTGTTTCCAGTTCTGATGGTTCAGCTTGACAATGCCCCTTGGGGCCAGTGCTGTCCAGGGCAGGGAGCTAAGAAGCTGACCAAGGGTCTGTTGCCTAGTTTGCCACGCAGATCACCTTGCTCCTTGGGCCCCTGATGTAAACTCTCTAGGGTTCTCAGAAAGGCTCTCAGCAGAGTGTATAGGGAAAGATCCACAAGTTCCTGGAAAGGGTCACCCGAGGCAGAGCTGCAGGACAGGAAAGGCAGGATGAGGAAGGGAGAGCCCACACTGACGCCCCCACCCCACCTCCCAGCCTGCATGTTGTCGGATCTTCCTAGGAAGCACAGGGGGTTCTGAGCTACTCCTGTGTGTACCGCTCAGATCAGATCTTCGCGGCAGGTCTGCTGATAGCCGTCATCTGTCCATTTCTTCTGCCAATCCCCCACCCCACCCTCGGCACCATCTGCCATCCCCACCCACACGAGGCTGTCACTTTCCTTCATGGAGACCTGGAGCATTAGCCCAGGAATGCAGTTTAGAGGTAAAGGTGTCCATCTCTTTGGCTACTGCTCATGTCTTCTCCTCCTAGGTCTACCTAACTGTGCCTTGTTGCTTTTACATGGAAATTAAATATTCTACTACCCAGAGCCATCCTTAGAGAGCTAACCTCAAACAGGAAAAACAAAACAAAACCGACCCCACTGCTGCAGGTCTGGGTGCCTCCCACCACGCAGATGCCACCAGCACTCCTATGGCTATTGGTGGCAAATCCATCCCAGGACCTCAGGATGACGGGGGCTTGACGGCATCAGGCCACCTTGAAATGTAATGTTGAATTAAGAGCGGCGGGGCTGCGTCCCCGGCACCCGGCCGCCCGCATGGCTAGCTTATGCCTGAAATAATTACACGGAAACTGTATTCTTTCAAACACTGCCTGGCCCGGCTAGTTCCAGCTTCTTATTGGCTAGCTCTTACATATTGTTCTAAACCATTTTTAATATTCTGTGTAGCCCACGAGCTGGCTTACCAGGGAGGATCTTAACCTGCGTCTGTCTGGAGCAGGAGAATCATGGCGACTCCTTCACTAAGCTTCTTTTTCCCAGCATTCTCTTCTGTCTACTCCGCCTACCTAATTTTCTGTCCTATGAGGGCCGAGGCAGTTTCTTTATTAATAAGAAATCACTCCCACATCATTGTAATGTGACTGCTTGGTGCCTGAGGCATGCTCACGTTACACAGTCCCTCTGCCCTGCCCAGGTCCACCTCAGATATTGGCAGCAAGACCCGAATGGCGGAGTCCACAGGACCCGAGCCCGCCCAGTTGCATGACAGTGCCTCGTTTGCCCAGGTGTCCAGAGGTCCCGTGTCGGTGACGCAGTTGGATCAGTCGGCTTTGAATTACTCAGGTGAGACAGAGGAGAAAAACCCTGTTCCCTGTAATGAGGCCTCCCCGGTCCACACAAACTGCCACCGTCGGGAACCAGAGCCACCACATGTCTGGGTCCTCTGACTTCGCTAGTATCCATCAGAGGAGCTGCTGGTTTTATTTCTTTTAAAAAGAAGGAAAGAAGGAAGGAAGGAAGGAAGGAAGGAAGGAAGGAAGGAAGGAAGGAAGGAAGGAAGGAAAAAAAGGAAGGAAGGAGAAACTGCAAAATGCCTAGTTATGCTAAAGTCAAAATTTTGTTAATATTTTGTCGTATTTCAGGTTTCTGTTTATTTTACCTCCACAGCATGATGCATTTAGCCAGCCATCCTTCCCCAAGGTGGCCATGGTCCTTGGGTCACGGGTTTTAGACCTGTGTTGTGTTGTGCTCCTATTTAAAAACGTGTGCTAATGCTATATGCATTTTAAACTATCATAAATCACTTACAACACACTCATTTTTGCACTGTTTTCTTAGCATTGTTTGAGGTATTTCTCCAGATGGCGCTATGAGCACAGGCTAGCCACTCATTTCCACCACCTTGTGAGTGTCCTGTGACGTGACCGGCAACAGTCCGTTCCTCTGGTAGATATAGGAGTCATTTCCAGTTTCTGTGTCAAACTGAAAATGACAAAAACGGAACTGGAGGTTTGCACCCACCCTCGTTTGTATGTGGTCTGGTTGAATTTCTATTGTGTTCATGGCATATCTTTATGGTTAAACCTGCCAGCACCTCTTGCCAACACTTACTAAACCATTTGTGGTTTCTGGGAATTCCTCTGGTGAAATCATTCATTTGGATTCCTTTTTAAAAAATCTTTAAAACCACATGCCCTCGTGGGAAGAAAGCATCTGTACCCAAGGTGTCCTTCCTCTGGGCAGATCAAGGCTATATCAGGTAGAATGAGGGAGAGGATGGGGTCTCTATAGGAGGAGTTGGACCTTCAAAGCCGAGGAAGCTGGTCTGAGCCACAACAGATGATGCCTGCCATATTGACTAGGCAGGTGATGGGGGCTGGGGCTGCAGAACAAGGTTTCCTACCGCCTCCCCAATGACCTTTTCCCCTGCGTCCCCTAGCCTGGACCAATGTCAGAGTCCTCCCTAGACTCCCAGCTTCCTGAGTTGGAGTCCATGCAGGCTCAGTGGGAAGGGTGCCAGCTGGACTCTACTCCCTCTTTAGGACGGTGGGGAAATTGAAGCTTCTCAAGGAAAAGGTGGATGCAGCGCCCACCCCTACAAAGAGAGCACAGCTTGGATCTTAGCCCCACTTGACCTCCCTGCCAGATACCCTGAGTAGGGCACCACCTGCTTCCCTTGGCAGTCACAGGGAACTTGGAAGAGAGCCACTAAGGGGAGCCAGGTGCCTTCTACCTCAGCCGCCCTCTTCGCTGATGCATTACCTAGAGTTTCAGCCACTGCAGCAGGCGCTGCTCTAGATTGGACGGCGGCTGTGTACCCAGGGCCTCCCTGCCCTGTATGGAGGTGCTTCGATATTATAGCCAAGAACATGCCCCTCGCTCAGGCCTGACTCGCTGAGATTTGAGGCCCAGCAGGCAGCCTGGTAGTCTGTGAAATGGGGTTTATCTGGCTCTTGCGGGTAGGAGTGTGGATCCAGAGTCCAGCCTCTTCTGACCTCCTACCCACTTCCTCTGTGCAGGTAACACAGTGCCAGCGGTGTTTGCCATCCCGGCTGCCAACAGACCTGGCTTCACTGGCTACTTCATCCCAACACCTCCCTCCTCCTACAGGAGCCAGGCCTGGATGTCCTACGCAGGGGAGAATGAGCTCCCGAGCCAGTGGGCTGATTCGGTGAGACCCTTGCTATTGCTCTCACAAAGGTTCCCTCGCTGGGCACACCTCTAGGGGAAAAGGAGGTGGAAAACAGAGACTGGGCTTTGGTCCTCTCGGGGCCTCCCACCATGCCGGTGGCTGAGGTGAGCCATTTGGGTGGTGGTGCGGTGAGGCGTGTGACCTTTGATGGAGGAATTTGAGGCTTGTTTCCTAGAATGCATTCTATCTTTTCCTGGCAAGGGGACCGTAACCAAATCAGTTTTATAGTAATAACTACCATCTGTTTAGTATTTTCTGTATGCCAGACCCGTTCAAGTGTTCCATTAAACTGCCTTATTTAATCTTCACAGTAAATTTGATCATGCGAGTTTTATGACTACTCCCATTTCACAGATAAGGCACTGAGGCTTAGTCACGTGATATAACGCTAAGGTTGCACAGCTCGAGAAGAGCCAAGGCCGGAGTGAGAATTCACACCAGTCTGACTCCGAAGTGTTTATCCAATTTATTTCTTTCCACTGTCACATTCTGCAAGATTTTAGATCGAATGTCAGCAAATGAAGGGTCAGAAACCCTGAAACCGCCATATGGCCGATGCAAAGACTTCCTGCTTGATTTCCACCCAAGCATTTGCTGTCTCCCTTCATTCCTCACAGGTGTCTGACACAGATACACCTGTCTTTGGACTTGCCAGGTGTGGACATTTAAAAAAAAAAAAAAGAAGAAGTGTCACCTACCGTGTCTGTAGTAGACTGTCTGGTCCCTGAGTGAGCTCACCTGGTGTAAATGAGAAAGGCGGGTCAAGCTGAACCTGGCATTCCTGTATTCTTTAGTCACCAACTTCAGAGTTGGTCTCTGCCTTTGGAATAAATTCCTAGCATTGGAAAACACCTTGCTGCAGGTGTCTGACAATGCCTTTGTCCAAACCTCTGAGGTCACCATACCGTGCAGTCTGTAGTGACCCGAGTTTCAACACCACCACCAGAGGGGCAATCCTGTATATAAACTGTCCTGTTGCCCAATGCTTACTTCTTTGGTTTCTAAAGCATAAAAATGCATGCCACGCTGCACATAAAGTATTCTGAAATGAACACTCCTTTCAAGTGGGCGTAGCTTGACTGAAGCGTCTTCTGTGAGCGGCTCAGTGTCCTGACGAAGTCTTACAGTTCTCTCTCGGGAGGCATTCGGAGGCTGGGCTTTCACGGTTTGGGGATTCTGGCTTTTCATTCAGTATCTACAAACTAGTAACCTCTGGGCTTGCTAGAACGGCTTGATGGGGTTTTTCTTTGCGTGAGCTTCCTCCCGGCTGGCACTTTATGCAGTCAGCATCTCCACGTCCTTACTTGTGCTTTTCCTAATGTGCTGTCCTCTGCATATGAAACATGCCTGAGCTCATTTAAAGTGTTTGCTAAGTTGGAGTAAGTAAACTCTGGGAGAGGAACTGGAGGATTCCCTGATATTAGGTCAGCGGGTCTAACCTGGGATGTCATAGCATGCTGTTAGGTCAGCGGGTCTAACCTGGGATGTCATGGCATCTGTTTGGCTGGGACAGGCTCATCTTTATCTTTCTTTTGTGGTTTTGTTGTTTTGTTTTGGTTTTTTTTTTCCATCCTTTTTTGTTTGTTTTATTTTTGAGGTCAGTTTTGCCGTTGTTCTGCTTGTTTAGTTTTGAGACAAGGTTTGGTTCCTAAGCCCAAACCAGCTTGAATTCACTACCTACTGTGAAGTCAAGGCCAAACAGTGAACTCTGGCAAACCTTCTGCCTTAACGCCCCCTAGTGCTGAGCCACCGTGTCTGACTCTCTTTTCTCAGCCCTCCTCCTGATTCCCAGACACTGGTTTGCATTGCTGTATCTCTAAACAGTTGGCATCATTGAGTAGTGCTGGTCAATTCAGAGCGTGTTTACTCTGTAAGCCTTGAAATGTAGAAATAATGTATGCGCTTTTCAGAGGGGACGACATGCATGGTGCCCTGGTCAGGCTGGAAACCTGCAGCTTGGATAGCTATGTCTTCTGCGGGAGTCAAAGGAAGTATTTTCCAAACCCTTGGTCCTTGCCCTCAAGATGCTTAACACACATAGCTTCCCCAGGCTTTCGGCTTCATCCAGATGCCCTTGGGTTCACATCACCTTAGAGAAGAAGATGAAAGACCTCAGCAAATGCCAACCTCACCTTCCTGACAGGATGATGGAGTCATTCCCGAATCCTCCCCAATACTGTGAAAGAGGTTGCGTTTCCCTGGCTTTTTTAATGCTGCAGCCTCGGTAGGTCTTTCTTGGAGCCCAGTCATCACTGTAGCTCAGCTGAGAAGTGCGCCCAGCATGGTGCAAGCTGTGGTGTATGATTCAGAGCAAGTGAGAGAGAGTACAAGGGAGCTCAGAAAGTCAACGAGAGAAAGACACCCCATTTGGGCTGATTAAAGAGATTGCATGTCCTCTATACTGATGTGAGTAAACAAGACCCCCGCCTTCACTTGGGTACCTGACCTTCCTGGTCCCCCAAATCACCTAAAACCAGGGTGCCATATTGATTTCACCCTTGGTGCTAGAGAAGCTTCCAGGGGAGGCCTCGGGGTTTGTTTGCTGTTTTCTCATTGTCGTGACAAAGTAGTCTAACAAGAAGTCAGTTAAGGAAAGAAAGGTCTGTCTTGGCTTCGGTTAAAGGAGACACCATCCATCACATGTGACAACAGAAGCAGGAAGCCGCTGGTCATATTGCACCTGCGGTCAGGAAGCAGGGTGAACAAGAAGTAAGGCCATGCTTTAAGACCTCAAGGGTCACACTCAGAGACCCACTCCATTCAGCAAGGCTCCACCTCTGAAAGATTCCAGAACCTTCCCACACATTACCACCAGCTGAGGATCAACTTCAAATGCATGAGACTGTAAGGGGCAGTTTACACTCAGAATCGCCACACAGACTGATCAAGAGCGTTGCTGTGATCGATTGGTGATGTCTGTCAAGGAGCAGGACTGTTTGCAGCCCTGGACTCTGGCCAGCCAAGCATAATGGTGCTTGCCAAAGAGCCTGTTCCTTGTCTTCCCCACTTCTAAGTACTACCCTGAGACAACTCCGGTTGCCTAGTTACTTTTCCCTTGCTGGTTCTAGCCACTAGCACTGATACTTGATGTCACAAAGGGTCATGTATTGACTCTTCACTCCGGTTCACGTGGTTAGATAAGTTTGAAGAGTAGCGGCTTCCGCCCCACACATTCAACACCTACTGAGTGTCCTTCAGTGATTTCCAGACTGTGCTTAGAACCCCAGGCTCTGGGAGACTTCCTTCTCTCTGCTAGACAAAATTCTGGGCATATGTGATGTCACCAAAGTGACGGTGGGCGGAGTCCTGCCTTCTCAGAACTGCGGACCTGGGACAGGTGATGATGGCCCACGAAGAATGCCTGCCACTCCAGACAATCCTCATGGAAACATTTTGCAGGGGCCATCAGCTGGTGACAGGCTGGAAAATGTCCCTGGAAGAATGGAAATTTGAAGCTGAGATCCGAAAGGCTTCCTGTATTGTGGCCCTGGTTCTTGGTCAGCTCCAGTCATCCGCATATTCTGAGCTCTTGTGGCTGGATAAGTGGGACAGTGCCCCTCTGGGTTTCCTCTAAAGTCCAGGGGAAGCCGTCCAGCCCTTGTACGTAGAGACATGAGCAGCTTTTTGCCGCTTTATTTTATTGGCAGGGTCTCGTGGTGAAATTTAAACCCCAGACTCAAGCTTACGTCATCAGTGCAGTAACTTCTGTTGAGTGAGCTCTCGCGGCCTCACCTGAACCACTGAGGTAGCCTCAGAGCTCATTTCTGCCGGATCCACCCTGAATGACCTTGCTGAAGCTGACTTCTCTGCTGACACCCAACAAGGGTTCCCAGCCCGTGATCTCAGACATTGACCTTCTCAAGAGGGACTATCAGAGCATCCTGCATCCTACCATGAACTCCCCTGTCCCAATGTCTGAATGTTTGTGTCCCTCTACCCAACTCACAGGCTGAGTTCCACAGTGTCACGGTGAGGTCTTGGGCGGGTGGCTGGTTTGTGAGGTTGAACACTGTGAATAGAATTACGTTCTTATAAAAGAAGCCCATGAGCTGCCCTGCTGCTCCTGTCATGTGGGTGACAGGAAAAGACAGCTGTCAAGAACCAGGAAGCAGCCTCTCACCAGGCGCTGGAGTCCCCAGTCTTCATGAGTATAAAAATAAATTTCCATTCCTTATCAGCTCCTTGGTCAGTGATATCTGATTTTAGCAGGCTGAAGAGATTAGGACAGCTGCCCTGCTCCATTCTCCATCTTCCCCTGCTCCATCTTCCTCTGCTCCATCCTCCCCTACCTTAGCCTCCCCAGCTCCATCCTCCCCTACTTCGTCCTCCCCAGCTCCATCCTCCCCTAATCCATCTTCCCCTGCCCCATTCTCCCCTACTCCATCCTCTCCTGCCCCATTCTCCCCTGCTCCATCCTCCCCTACTCCATGCTCCTCTGCCCCATCCTCCCCTGCCCCATCCTCCCCTGCTCCATGCTCCCCTGCCCCATCCTCCCCTACTCCATGCTCCCCTGCTCCATCCTCCCCTGCCCCATCCTCCCCAACTCCATCCTCCCCAGCTCCTTCTCCCCTGTTCCATCCTCCCCAGCTCCATCCCCCCATTCCATCCTCCCCTGCTCCATCCTCTCCTGCTCCATCCTCCCCAGCAGGCCCAGATGAGCATGTCTGTCAATGGGGAAGGAGGTCAGGTGTGGTAACGCATTTCTATAATACCAGAAGTCAGGAGGCAGAGCTTGGAGGACCACCACAGTCACAAGACCAGCATGATGTTCTGTGAGTTCCAGGCCCACTATAGAAACAGCCTTTATTTCTCACAAGTGTGTCCAGGACAGTAGGTGGGTCCACTAAAGAAGCACATGCCCCATGGACTAGCATTCAGTTGCTTTAGACGGGACAGCCTGGGGACACCGTCCCCACCCAGCACACCACTCTGCACCCCTGTGCCTTAGCTCTTGTTTTTCCACATGTCTGACCTGCCTATCTTACCTCCTGAGCCTGAAGTGGACTCCCAACACATGTTCTCTGCCTGCCCCACAGTCCTGTGCCTGCATCCACAGCATTCCAGCCAGCATCCTGGGATATAAAGGTCTTTGTGGACCAAATAGCAGCCCATGTGTGTACTGTTTCTGTGGGCGAGATAGTCATAGATTCTAAACCTTTTGCTTGTCTTTATTCATAGACACTTCTGTATGTTTAAGTAGAGAATGATGTGTCTCCCTCTTTTAACGAAAGGAGTTTTTTTTTTCAAGAATGTGATAGTGCACCTATATCCGAAACACTATAGTGCACAAATTAATTAATTCCCAGTGCTTGGAGCCAGGTACACCTGTGCAGAGCATGTCTGGGCTTGGTGGCTGTGTTTCCTTAGATGGTGGTACCCTCGGCTGCAGTGTCCTCCCCTATGAAACAGGGATGAGGAGATTGTTGCTTGCAGAATTAGATGAGATACTGTGTGAAAATCATTAGGGCTCAACGGATGCAGGCTCATTATTAGTAAAAAAGCCCCTGAGCTCCCCTGCAAGAGTTCTGTTTACTCAGCTGTGCTTATGTTAAAAGGAAAGGCAGGGTTGTTCAGCTGTGAGCTCGGGTGGGGTGCGTCCTTAAAGTATTCAGCAAAGTTGAAGAACACCTATTTAATTCCTGCAGCCAGCGCGCTGAGTGAGTGCAAGACAGCTGTTTGCTAAAGAAACTGACTCCAGATGCCCTTGGGTTCACATCACTGATAGGCTGATAGCTGTGGTAGCGCAAGGTTTCACTTCTCTAAACCTGTTTCCTTGACCTCTGCCTTGACCTCCGCCTTGACCTCCACTGCTGCCCGCTTCCAGTATTGAGTACATCCTCTGCCTTGAGCTCCCTCCTAACGTGAGTTCCTTCTCCTCTCTCCCAACCTCTTGTGCAGGTCCCTCTTCCTGGGTACATCGAGGCCTATCCCCGGTCACGTTATCAACAGAGTTCACCCTCCAGGCTCCCTCGCCAGTACAGCCAACCAACCAATCTTCACCCAAGCCTAGAGCAGGCCCCTGTCCCCTCCGCAGCAGCCTCACAGCAGAGCCTGACAGAAAATGAGCCTCCAGATACCCCGTTGACCAACATTTCCACTGCAGCCCTCGTGAAGGCGATCCGGGAGGAAGTGGCCAAGTTGGCCAAGAAGCAGACAGACATGTTTGAGTTCCAGGTCTAATGCCTCAGCCCTGAGGGAATCTGCCCTTGAAGACTGTGAGGCAACAAACAGGCTTTGGGTTCCTCTCCACTGATGTGTGGGGTCTCCAGACGATGCATGGGTCTTTCTCATCCTCAGATTCAAAAAACGTCAACAGTGAGGCTGCTGGGAAACAGAAAACTTGTGAACAACTGGATTCTGACTCCTGCAGCCAACTGTGGGTCAGCAAGTCCCTAGCTGGGACCCTGCATTTGATGTTTTGCTGGGCTAAATGTTTGAACTGTGGGTGGAATTTCCTGGAGGAGCCCTAGTCGTGAGAGGCACTAGTTAGCCTGCAGGTTCCTGTCCAGTGTCCCATTTTAGTAAATGGTCAGAAGGGAGAGACTGCCTCTCTGTCTTCAGCGGCCTCTGCATGTTCTCTTTCTGTGTTAAAGGCAACACAGGAGTGTGATTAACCACCAGACTGTACTCTCTCATTGAGCCATGACCGTGACCGCTTTCAAAATCACCTCTAGTCTGTAAGGGAAATACTGACTCTCCAGCCAAGAAACTCGAGTCTCTTTGCTTTTAAAGGCTCATGTTCAAAGTCAAATGAATTGGATGGAAATCAGTTCCAGTGGCTGTGCCTATAAATAGTCCTTTCTACCCCCCCCCAAACACACACCTGCTAATTAAAGGCCGAGAGAGAGAGACGATGAGCCAGAATGGTGGACTTACGTGGACAGGCTGTTTAAAAGGTGCTGTCATTTTGAAAACAAAGTCTTCTGCAAATTGGGATCCAAATGAAAGGGGATCGGTGCTAAGAGGCTTGGGAGCCTGTAAAAGAGAAGCAGTTATTTGTGGAGGTTTTTCTTTGTATTGAAGATGGCCTGAGAACCCGGCCATCCTGGGGAAATAATAGATACAGCAACTTTAACAAGATCTGTCTCCTCCATAGTGGAGTCTAGCGCGTGCTGGTAGCGGTACAAAGAAAACCATTATTGATTATGGTAGAGATGGGAAAGATGGATCCATGGTCACCCCACCCTGCAACCTCTGCTTCTAGAAACTTGTAAATGTAGAAAATCTGATTTGAGATGAAATGCAAAGCATCTTTTTAAAATTCTGGAGTTCACCAGTTCTTCGTGGTGGATGAACGCAGGAGGATGTTTGCTGAGATGGCAGGATGCTACCTTGGGATGGTGCTGTCCCATGCTCCTCTCCCTGGCATGACACATCAGCCTACAGAGTCCTGGGTGGAAACACTGCCTTGCAGCTCTGGGGTACACTGATGACTCCTCTGTGCAAATAAGACTGATTTGGGGTACCAGAGGAAAAGGGAACCCTGAGTTTCCTCCCCAATTTTGGGAGTCATGTATGATGTCAGGGGGATTATTTGGTGTCTGTTGGAGAATAAGGTCCTATCCTGCCTTCACCCATGACCCATCTCGCTTCAGCTGTACCTACGCCCCTCTGAGCCCATCTATCCATTGTCTCCATGAGTTTCTTTGGTCTTTACTGAAAGGAGGTTGAGAGAAGAGTAGGATTGGAACTGATTAGACTGGGGGACTCAAACTGTCAAAGCACAGACTTGCCCAAGAAGCTCTTTTTATTTCCCTCTGGCAAACTGTCCTTTCTGGAATGTTCCGAGATCTGTCATGGGGTCCCCAGACAAGTCTCTTGTGGGGGTGGCATTAGGTAGTGTCCTTTTAGTATGCCGGTTGATCTTTCATAGTGTTAGTTTTTTGTTACTTAATACGAAATCAGCTATAAATAAAAATGTATTTTTGTAATTTCCGTGTGTATATATGGTATATTTCTACCAATGGCCAGTTGTAGTCCAAAACTGAAATCAAGGAGCTTGCAGAACACTGTGGACAGTGCAGGATTTTACCGACAGATGAATCCAAAGCCTAAATCTATCCAGACGGGCATTTGATGCACTTGGATGAACAAAGAGCCAAAGAAACTCAGCCTTTCCATGCAAACTATGTCAGTCTTCGACAGCCAGCTACATTGGTCCACTTTATCAATAATATCAATATTTCATCAACACAGTACTGTGTGGACGTGGTAAATGTTTGGAATATGAGAGAGACGTTTCTAGACTACAGAATATGAATGCTTCAAAAAAACAGTGGCTAAGGTCTGGGTTCCAGGAGTTTCCAGATCGTGACTCTAGGGTTAGCAGTGGTGTGGCTCCAGATTGCCAGGGCAGGGGACTACAGCTCAATAGGGTCTTCACAGGACCCCATGGAATATTTAGTTCATTGAGACAATTAAAATATCTCATGATAAATCAAATACTATTAAACTAGATTCCATGGGTTCAAGAAGTCTGTTGAAGAAAACTTTAAATTATTAAAAAAAAAAAAAAAAGGAGTCTCCTAGGCTTATAGAGGTGTTAGGTCCCAGAACAGGAGACTCTGAGGAGTTCAGAGGGGAATCACCACAGAGGTGTGAACACAGAGTTCCGTGAGAGCCCAGAGGAGGCAGCAGTGAGCTCAGATTGTCAAGCTCTTCCAGCCAGGCACAGAAGGCACAGAGGATCTCAGTGACTTGGAAGGACAAAACCCACATCCAGACACATTGAGGGTTGAGCCTGCCTCTGCTGATTCATTCCCCAGCCTGCTCTCCCTTTGACCATGTTGCCTGTACACTTGTTGGAGACACATTTCTTTAACTGTGCTCAGAAATTTAAAAAGTAGGAAAGGGTCAAGTGAGTAACTCCATAATACTCTTGCCAAAAAATACGGGGGTAGGGGGACCAATTTATTCCAGAAAATAGCACTGAAGAAACAATGTCCTTGAAAGCCAGTGGGGGTAACTTACTTATTATCCCCACGGGTCAAAAAGGCAGACAAGGAAGCCCTGACACTGTCACTTCACCAGGTGACCCAGAAAGCCAAGAACATAAGGGTCTCCCGCGTGGCCTGGTACCTCTGACCTGAGGCTTGTGCGGGAACAGGGTGGCAGCTCTGAGCTTCAGAGCAGGAAGGAGCCTCTTTGAAGGACACTGTCCCAGGAGAGGTAATACCGGCTGCTTGTTACTTTAAGAGCCCTCTCCCAAAAAGACATAAACCAAAACATGCAATTTCTGAATAATGTTGACTCAAGAAAAGAAATATCTGCGATTGAGGGTAGGCAGACTAGAAAACATTGTAAAATTCTTACTTCTAAGTAAAAGAAATGCTTCCCTACCAGGCAAAAATTGAAATGGATCAAGAAATATTGATTTTAGCCGGGTGGTGGTGGCACACACCTTTAGTCCCAGCACTCGGGAGGCAGAGGCAGGCGGATCTCTGTGAGTTCGAGACCAGCCTGGTCTACAAGAGCTAGTTCCAGGACAGGCTCCAAAGCTACAGAGAAACCTGTCTCGAAAAGAAAAACAGGAAGGAAGGAAGGAAGGAAGGAAGGAAGGAAGGTTGATTTCATATAAATGAGCCTCATTTTTTCCACACAGCACAGAAGTGCTCAAAATTCAGTGTATAATGAATGTAAAGGAGTTTTCACGTTGGAGAAAAAGCTTTGGCCTTAACCCTGAATTTAGAATCTGGACTTCCCTCTCCAATTACAGTACAAGACTTTCAAGGCGTAAGTATAAGTCAGCTTGTCCCTGGCAGAGTCCAAGTATTAGAGGTTCCATTCTGCCATCTAGTCCAGCCTCAAAGGAGTTCCAGTCTTGGAACTTCTCAAGGAAACCTGTTCAGCCTTACTTCAGCCAGGGGCTGACTGAAAGACACAGAGATAAATTGCAGAAGCAAAATGCAGGTGTGGCAAAAGGCAGGGAAGGCATCAAGCAATGCTTCTTCCTGATAGCTCTTTTCCTGGCACTCTCTCTCCTCTGCTTTGCTCTGTTTCTCTCAACACACCTGCTTCACCCTCTTGCTTGCCTGGACCAACCAGCTTCCTCATTAGTGCATATAGAACCAAACACGGACCTTAGGACCTGCACCACACTCCCCCCACCCCGCATTGCAGACCACTCTCAGACTAGCATCCTTGAGCCCCCTTTAGGCAAATGCTTGAGAGTCTGATTGGTCCAATTCGCATCTGCCTGTGGATAAGCTGCCCTCAGGTCAGGTGCCCAGTCAGCTGTAAGCGAAGAGCCAGGGTTATGTCCTACAGACCTGGTCCCTGGATTGACTCTTTTGTCAGGATCTCTTGTTGAGGAAGGCGCCTGATCAGGGAACAGAAGCAGGGCTCCCTAAAGGAACCTGCCCCAAACTGGAACTAACCATTCCCTAAGATACCACCTGGCAGCCAGCACTGAGAGGGCAGTCCTCTGGAAACTACCCCCCACCCCGGGAAGGGCATCTCCCACTCTGACAGCAGGTAAGAGTGCACATTCTTGAACCCCCTGCCGACTGACTAGACCGCCCCCACACACTTCCCACCCCTCACCACACTAGTTCCTGAATGCCACTGCTGGGCCCCAGAAGAGATCTCTGACCAAGGCCTGGTTAACTTAGTGTCATGCTCAGCTCAGCTCAGCTCAGCTCAGCAGACAATCAACACTTGTAAATTGAATTGCATGGCCTTAGCTCAGGTGCTGCTCATGTGGCTCCCAGCCCCACATTTGCATGGATGAGAAGACTGATGAGCCTCTCCATAGAGTCGCCTTGAAACAAAATTGGTTTCAGGTGAAAATGATGCTTTGGAGGCTCTGTCTGACCTTCCAGCTCTAAGAAGTTAGTGTCCCAGGAACTGAATGGGCTCCCGATGGCTTACGTGAACTCTTACAGAATTCTAGGTGGCGGTGAATACTGAAGTGTAGGCGTTTCTAAAAAGGGGGATTTAGGAAATTCATTGTACCAGAAACAGATTCTCTTAGAAGATGTTGAGTTGCTTTGATTCTGTAAGTTTCCAAAAGAAGGGAATTTTGAGAAGTTGGAATTTGTCCTCAGAGGTCAAACCCGCACTTGAGTTAGAGCCATCCTATTATAAGTCTAGAACATCCTATGATAAATCTAGAGACTAATTGTTTTGTCCTTGCTCAGACTCTTGTAAGTGATGGAAGGAGGCCATCCAGTGTACTTTACATAAATTAACCCCGGCCTCACCTTCCTCTCCCTCATCTCCTCTTTGGGTCTAAACTCTCCTCCACCCTCACATAAATGAAGGGGAAAAAAGAAAAGGGAAATATACCAAACAAGAGAAGAGGAGTGGTGTTGGACTGGAAATTTTGAGAAGGTGTAAATATTCTGGAACTCGAGTGTCTCACTTTGAACTAGTCTGTAACTCGCCGTGGGTCAGGACTAGCATCTGTCCTTCCTGCCCGCCATGGCGGTCGTGAGGAGCATGTGTAATGTGTCTGAACATGGTTCGGAAAGCATATCGGAAGAATTTGCTATGGAAACCATTCGTTTTCCAGTTCGGTTTGATCCAGCTCCTGCTACCCACTGAGTTAATTTGTGTTGTCGTGTGTTCAATGACACAACTTCTTACCAAGGAAAAGGAAAGGAATTTTGCAGTTTGTAATTCCCACACGGAGTTGCTGTTATCGTTGTTGGTCGCCTGTGGTTTGGAGGGTATGGAAGTGTTTCCACGCGTGCTTTGACTCTAGGTGGAAAAATCCCCAGACTGGGATGCTCTCAAACCACTTTGGATGCACTGGGCAAAGTACTGAACAGGAGCTTTGAATGTAGCTGTTGTTATTTCAATGCTTTGCTTTCTAATTACCTTTGTACGTCCTTTGCCTCTGCCGGGAACAGAGTGTTCATACGCCGTTAGAATTTTTTATTGTAAAATAAAATGACAAAGGCTTTCATACCCCAAAACCTGCCTGCTTCTCATTCCATCTCCTCCAGATGGTGTAAGAGCATCTCTTTCACAACCATCTACACAACAGTGCCTTCTGGGGGGTTAACACTACAGAGCAGTGGCAGCCCTCAAGCCCCTTGCAATCTCAGAAGTCATATCTGCTGGGCATGGGATCATGGGCAAGAAATAAATTCTAACTTTTGTATGGTTCCCATATCCTCAGAAGCAGTTTGGGGCTCCAGCCAGAAACCAGCGTCTGTTAAGGTGTGCTTTCCAGAACGTAAAGAAGTCCCAGTGAGGTCAAGGGCTCCTGATGAATCCACAGAGAACTGAGGTCTTAGGAGATGAGCTTCCAATAAGTATGTTATCCCACCATGTGATATACACAGTAGCCATGAAGTCTGCCTTGTGTGAGCCCTACCTAGAGACCCGGGGTTCCTTTCAGCTCTGCCCTCTGCCTTTTAATTGACCAGGAGACTCAATCCAGGGGCTACAGACTCATAGGTGGACCAGCCCCGAGAATGTGACTTAGTCCATGAACAAGGCCAACCATTTTCTCCCACTAGAAAATGCCAAGACACAATGTCATCAGCACGTGTCTAAACAGGATGGTCAAGACCCAGATGAGCCATGATGGGCTAATTCAAAGCGAAGAGCTAAGAAAACAGAAAAGTGAGTAAGAAGTAGCCTTGAGACAAGGAAATTAGAGTAGAGATAGGGAAATCCAACAGACAAGCAAATCAACCTTGACTGTTTCTGGGGTATCCATGGGCCTAATGATCACAAACCTTTGCCATTCAAACTCAGGCAGCATCTCTGAGCTGCTTTTCACTGCCCCACCCTCAACTTGCTGAAATCCTCTTCAGGTCTTTACAAAAATACTCAAAGGCTCAAGGGGCAATTTTTAACTCCTCCTCCTGCTACTCTGCAAAGAGGACTAAATTACATTTCCATAACTGAGCCCAAAGCCCCTGTCATGTAACACTGAAGAGGTTTAAACGCTTGCAATGAGGTGTTCTATGGGACAGCGGCTACTGCAGATAAACCCATCCAGAAACCCCGGTGGTGAAGGGTTTCCCTTTTCCTTCTTCCTGGATGCTGGTGGCTCTCGACTCTTTGGGACAAATGAAAGGATCAAACAAAAGGAAATAGTGGTGCCTACTTCTGCCCAAGGAATGGCTGTAGACAGTCTGAGAGCTAGAGAAGGCGTGTGTATGGCCAAATCCTCCTGGCAGAGCATGGTCAGCAAGCATTCCAAACTTCCGTATATTTCATTTCTGTTGCTGTGGTTAAGTACCCCAGCAAAAGCGACCTGTGGGAAGAAAGGGCTTATTTTGGCTCACAGTTCCAGAGGGGTACAGTCCATCATGGCAGGGTAGAAATGGTAACAGAAGCATGAGGCTAGCCCATTGCATTATGTCAGCAGACTTAGAAGTAGAGCCATCACAAAAAGCCTTAAAGCTCACCCCTAATGACATACTTCCTCCAGTCAGGCTCCATCTCCTTATGATTCCATAATTTTCCCAAACAGTGCCATCAGCTGGGGACCAAGTGCTCCAACACATAAGCTCATGAAGGACACCTCACATTCCAACTATAACACTGTATACTTGGGCTGGAGAAATGGCTTAGCAGTTAAGATCACTGGCTGTTCTTCCAGAGGTCCTGAGTTCAATTCCCAGCAACCACATAGCAGGGGGCAACAATCTGCAAAATGTTCATAGATGTTAGAAACCAAATGTGTACATGTCCCCACGCCCAAGTTTATCATAGCACCTGAACCCTGATGTGAAGGGATTTGGAGGTTATATTGTTGGAGATAATTATGTTCAGATGCCTCCTAAACAAAGAAAGCTCCCAGAGAGCCCTTTGTCAGACACCAAACCTGCAGGTGCTTTTGTCTTGAACTTCTCAGATCAGCTGTGAGGAATAATGCCTGCCATCTTTAAGCCACCCACTGTAGCCCAAACAGACCAAGACAGTAGGAAGCAAGGCTCTATGTCTCTCCAGGACTATGTGAAGGACAGATTACAGTCAATACTGGGCAATTTGTTTTGTCAACATCTTGACAAAAGTTAACATTTACACAAGCACAAAGCCAAGCTTGTACAGAGACCACATGACTCACTGGAACGGAAATAAAGTTTGGCTAGCATGTCAGTTTTACTTCTACTCTGTCACCCAAGGGCCTTTGCTGAACATAGAAGGAGTCTGCTTATGCCTCTCCCTCACTCCATAGCCTAGCCTTCAGCCCTGGGACAGGGGCCTTGCGAGGACACTAAAGTCTGTAGAATCCATGCCGTTGAGGCCGTGGGATGCCTGTGATAGCAATGCCCATTGAAACCCAGAGTCTTCCAGCAGCTGGATGCCGAGCTGGGATTTGGGGAGATAAGACAAGAGGCCGGTTGTAAGCTCACAGGGAAGCCCGCTGTGTAAGTCAAATTTGTGGCTTCCAGAGAAAGGACTGGTTAGTCTTAAGACTTATTAAGTCTTAACTCTGCCAGATCGCCCATGTTGCCATGTGTATTAATGTCTAGGGGACTTGGAAACTGGGAGTTTCTTTCTCTTTAAGGTTTTGTCTCTCACAGGGGTAGGTTACAAACTGATCTTCCTGGTGACTGTTTTAGAAGGGGTTTTGGTAAGAGCAGAGCTGGTGGCTAACAGCAGAAACCAACAACAAGTGAGCAGACATTAGATCAAGAGGAGGACCATAGGACTGTCTTTCCACCAGGGTCATTCATGTATGGCTATGGCTTTCCTCACACTGACCATTCATCTTTTATTATTTGACTAAAAACTCTCCATGAGGTACCTTCCATGTGGCCAGTCTTCTAGTTCTCCCTCAGTTGAGCAAACATTTCCTGAGTGCTACGTCAGACACTGATGCCCAAGTGAAACTGATGCCCAAGTGACAGGGCTCCACGGTGATGAGGTCGCAGCTTCTACCCTCACATAGTCAAGGAGGATTGGCCCTGGAGACACAAAAACCAACAGAAAAAGGGTTTGCCCGTTTTCTACCTCATGAGAGCCAGTCAAATGAAAACCAAAATTTACCTCTGTCTGCAGATGTGTAGGTTTGGAACAGGACTTTTATTGCTGTAGTTCTGTCTGATGGTGCCACACAGTTCTCCTTCCAAATTATCTTTGGCCAATTAGGAAGACACCAGGAGGATACCCAGGGAGAGGGAACAAATTGCCAAATGCCAAAAATCTGCAAGCCCAAGTTTCAGAGCTCTAACCTGGTGAAATCAGGGAAGGAATAAGACTCTTAAGGGCTGTCTAATACAATCTACATGAAGACCTCAGTCATGATAAAACTTATGGTTTGAGCCACAACACACAGCTGCCAGTTTGAAGTACCTATATTAATGATATGCCAAACAAAGTTCATTGGCTATTGTATGGTGTGGTGGTGTGAATGAGAATGACCCCATAGGGTCATATATTTGAATGCTTGGTCTTAAGCTAGTGGAACTATTTGGGAAGGATTAGGAGGTGTGTCCTTGTTGGAGTAGGTGTGTCACTGAATATGGGCTTTGTGGTTTCAAAAGCCCACACCAGGCCCAGTGTCTCTCTTTTCTGCCTACAACTTGCAAAACAGATGTAAGCTCTTATTCGCTACTCCAACGCCTCTTCTTCCTACCATGCTCCCTTCCATGATGGTCATGGCTAACCCTCTGAAACTGTCAGCAAGCCTCCAGTTAAATGTTTCCTTTTATAAGTTGCCTTTGTCATGGTGTCTCTTCACAGCAATCGAGGAGTAACTATGACATATAGGTTTGGGTTTGTGTCCGGTCTCTGAATTATACTCTATGCAGCAAGTCTAAGCAGATAAGTTACTCCATCTTTCCGCTACTATCATTCTTTATTGCAGTAGTGTGTTTAGCTTGCTGGAGATTGTGTTTGTTTTTGTTTTCTTGACAAATTTACATATGAAATAAAGCAATCCTCCCCGTGGTAATTTTCCTCCCGAAGTGTCAGCAGAGATTTGTGCTTACAGCCTCTCTTCTCTCATTTCTCCAGTCTCCACAGGAAAAAATTTTTTTAATATTTATTTATTTATTATGTATACAATATTCTGTGTGTGTGTGTGTGTGTGTGTGTGTGTGTGTGTGTGCAGGCCAGAAGAGAGCACCAGACCTCATTCCAGATGCTTGTGAGCCACCATGTGGTTGCCGGGAATTGAACTCAGGACCTTTGGAAGAGCAGGCAATGCTCTTAACCACTGAGCCATGTCTCCAGCCCCCCACAGGAAAATATTTTAACAAGCGTTTGTGAGATCCTCAGAGCATCAAGCATGGCCATTGGATGGAGTAGTGTAATTTGCTGTTTTAAAAATGATAGAATGTTGCACGAGTTCTAATTGGTCTTAATAATAAAAACCCGGAGCCCAGTATTGGGGTAAATACTGAAAGATCTAAGAGATAAAGAAAGTCACAGCCAGCTCTTACTTTGCTAACTCCTCAGCAGAAAAGACTGGCCTCTTGTCTCCTCCAGCTTTATATTCCTCTCTCCACCCAGCCATATCACTTCCTGTCTGGCTGTACAGACCTCCAGACCTCCATGGTTAACTAGTGGCTAGCTCTGCCTTCTGATTGTCAGGCAAGCTTTATTTGTTATAGTACAAATAAGGTACCACAATAGAATCCAGGGCTGGAAATATGGCTCAGTGGCTAAAAGCACTGGCTGCTCTCCCGGAGGACCTAAGTTTGATTCCCAGGACTTACATGGCAACTCACAACTGCCTGTAACTCCAGTTCCAGTGGTCCAGTGCCCTCTTCTGACCTCTGTGGGTGCCAGGCATGCTCATGGTGCTCAGACACTCATAAAATTAAAAATAAACCTTAAAGGAGGAAGAAAAGATAGAATCCCAGGCTCTGAGTTGGAAGGATTGGGTGGAATATTACTCGTCTTTACATTCCAAAGTCGGCGTAGGGTAAGACTCAACCTATGTATATGAAAGTGCTTACCTGATCAGAGGTTAAACAGAAAGAGGGCTTCAGAAAGTCCTCAAACAAGAGGGGGACTGGGCTAGACTGATCACATGCCAGCTAGGAGTGCTTGCTGCCCTTGCAGAGGACCCAAGTGCAGTTCCCATCATCCATGGGAGGGGGCTCACAACCACCTGTAACTCTGGCTCCAGGGATCCAAAGCCCTCTTCCGGCTTCAGTAAGTACCTGCATATATATGGTCACACCCACAGAGAGAGGCACACACATGCACATAAATATAAATAAGTAATAGATAAAATGAGAGGAAGTAAGGTGGAGTGGAGAGGTTGGGAAGGATGGAGAGGTTTTTAATAGAATTCAGTATTTGGGTGGAAATCAGTGTCAGTACTCTGGGGTGTTGAGGGGAGGTTGCAGCTTTACTGAAGTTCTTTCTACTTAATTTAGAGCTTAGCATTGTTCTGATTTAAAATTACATATGAGGTGAGGAGCCAAAAAAAATCTTTTAAGTTGGGGTCCTCAAAGGGTTTTCCTCTAGCTCTGATTCTGTTTTGTGGCCAGCATGATTACATGTGCCATGGATCTCTGCTGTGATACCCAGATTTCATTACTGCAACAAAATGCCTGATGTAATGATTTACAAGAGAAAAGCTCATTTTCAATCCTGACTTCAAAGACTCCAGACTATAATCAATTGATCATATTGCTTGGGCCCTGGTGAGGCAGGCACCCCATGGTAGAACCAAGCTATTCACCTCATGGCTAGACATAGAATAAACAGGAGAGACAGGCTCCCATCATGCCCTTCTCTGAAATGTCACTAATGACTTAAAACCCTTGAGCCCACCTCTTAAAGTTTCCTCTGACGTTAACACACTGCCTAAGGAGACATTCCAGACCTGAACCATAGCACCCATGTCAGGATGCTATGGAACCTTCTAGCCCCAGGTTTAAACTTTGCCTTTGTCACAATCTAGCTCTGTGACTTTAGGCCACTTGCATCCTATCTCTGAGCCTTGTCTCCACTGAGAAGCTTCCTACAGAAGAGGACACCATAGAGAGGGAAATAGAATACACAGCTTACAGCTAACTACCTGGCAAACTGTAAGCATGGTGCTTACCGCTATTCACACAACTCTTGCAAGAATACTTTCAACGGTGGTATGTTGACAGAGGTTTCTGTCCTTCCCGGTTCCTGTGGCCATTTAGTCCCAAATAAACACACACAGAGGTCTACATACAATATAAATGTATTGGCCTAGTAGCTCAGGCTTCTTATTAACTCATAACTTATATTAGCCCATAATTCTTGTCTGTGTTAGCCATGTGGCTTGATACCTTTTTCAGCGAGGCATTAACATCTTGCTTCCTCTGAGGCTGGGTCATGACTGCAGACTGAGCTTTTCTCTCCCAGAATTCTCATTGCCTCACCTCTACTTCCATTATTGGCTACTGGCCAATCAATGTTTTATTAAAATACAATTGACAGGGTAAAAAACCATTGTCCACAGCACTTCTCCCCCTTTAAAAAAAAAACAACAAAAATTAAAAAACAAGAACTCTGAATCTAATATCCTTTGTTTAGCTTTTCTCCTGGCTCTTATCCGTAACAATTTGTAACCAACATTCTAAACAACGAAAAATATTCATAGTGCATTTTGTGGGGGAATGCAAAAGGATCCTTGGGCCTTTAAAGATCAGATCAGCACCCATGGATGATTCATTGCATACAATGAATGTTGAGACACTTGACTATGGAACTGAAGCTTGGATAGGAGAAGCAATTTCCAGTGGTAAGAGGAGACATCAAAATACCAAATGTTTTAATTGTGGTAGAATGGGACATCTGAGAATGGATTGTAGACAAGAGATTCCTAGGAATAATGTCTCCTCTGGGAATGGCAGGAATAGGAGGACTCAGCCTTCAGGTGTATGTAGGAGGTATGGCAAAGGTCAACATTGGACCAATGAATGTAGGTCAATGAAAGATAGACAATCAGAAAATGCCATTGGTGCCTCTTGCAGGCCCCCATGATGAACATGGTCCAGTCATTCCCAGTTACTGTGGAGAATGTGTCTCACCAGGAAAATTTTTAAAAATCCAGTGCTTACTGTGAAAAAATAATACTGGTCTGGATGATGGAATAAATGTGGAAAATGGGTCAAAAACTCAAGTAGGACATAGGAAATGTATATTCTGGCAGACTTCTATAAATGATCAAAGACCGAAGCTAAGAGTGTATATAAATGTTCAGTTCCTAAGGATTGGAGCCCTATCTCAGGTAAAACAGAGCATGAGATGGGTTGAGTGCCTAGGACCAGAAGGACAGAGAAGAAGACTAAGGCCATATGTAGATATCATTGCAGTGAATTTGTGGGGTCGTGACCTATTGCAGCAATGGAATACCCAGATTAACATTCCTGCAGCCCCCAAAAAACTTATGTTTCTGTGGAAAATATTAGAAGATATTATAGATGACAGTCACCAGCCATTCGGGCCATACAAGAACACAAAGCAATTGATAAGTCTTCAGAGGTACTAACAACCCTGCCTTTAAAATAATTAACTGAGAAGCCAATATTGGTTAAATAGTGGCCTCTAGCTGAAGAAAAGCTGTAGGACTGGGTGGGACAGAAAACCTCAGTCAACAGAATGGCACCCACGTGGACAACTGCACCCACACACACAAGCCTGAGAGAGCTTGGGAAGTAATTCTAGACAGAAAAGAATACAGTTAAGCACAGCTTATAGATAGCAGCGTTTTCTCAGGTGAGCTCTGTTTGCTAGAGGCAAATGCATCTCATTTAAGAGAGGCTTCCTGACTCAGCTACAAAACCTTGCAGCTCTTTTAAGAGGTCCTGCCATAAAACACTTAAATGGTGTTGATGTAAAGCTGACCACATGCTTTTTGGTAGTGGCAGGGACCTTAAAACACCTTAGAGTTGTGGCAATAAACATGGCTTTGGCTAGTACCTCCACCATGAGGCTGGAATCTCAAAAAGCTAAGGAATGGACTGGATCCAGCCATCAAAGCCACAGCTTTAATCCTAGTCATATTGCATAGCAAATTAAAGACTTGTATAGTCAGAAAAAGAGAGATATACAGTAAAGATAGATCAAAGGCAAAGAAAACCTCTAAAGGGTTTACGGTGTGTTTAAAAATATGTGTAAGCTTGGAAGACAAAGGAAAAGAATAAAGTCCTTAAAATAAGAAAGAGAATATTTGGGTGTGGTGGCAAACACCTTCAATCCCAACATTTGGGAGGCAGAGGCAGAGAGAGATCTCTGTGAGTTCAAGGCATGGTAGCATACACCTTTAATCCCAGCACTTTGGAGGCAGAGGCAGGCAGATCTCTGTGAGTTCAAGGACAGCCTGGTCTACAGAGTGAATTATAGGACAGCTAAAGATACACAGAGAAACCAAGTCTCAAAAAAAATTAAAAATAAAAATAAAAGAGATAGAGTTTAAAATAAAGTCACATAAAGATGAAAAATACACAGAGAGTCTGGATACTATATGTTATCATGTTCTCTTTGAATTGTTTGCTGAGAAAGGAGCAACAGCTGCTGAAAGATATTTGTTTATAAATGCTGCTGAATTAATCCAAGATAGGTATTTTGAAAATACCTTAACTTCAAAATTGAAATCAAAAGATATGTTACTTTGGAGAAGAGGTTTTGCTTTTGTTTCCACAGGAAATGAGAGGCTGTGGATTCATTCTGGGTTAAGAAAAATCATGTTTGATCAAGGAAGACCACCTGAGAAATCTCCAATAGGAAGGAATGGCCTGGATGTCTGAGTTCTACATCCAGAACAGATTCAAAATGCTGCCTGAGATGATCAAGGCTCACGGGACAACTCCAGTCAGGACTTGATCATAATTCTAAATTTTCTTTAGGTCCCTGTAAGATTATCAGTGTCCCCAACCAGCAGAAAGTAGCCTGGAAAACTACTCCCACATTCCCCAAAAAAATGGATTATGGATGTTTGCCTTTGTTTAGAATGTTGGTTAGAAGATGTTATGGATAATGGTATGAACAAAAAGCTAAACAAAGGAGATTCAATTCAGAGTTCTTGTTTAAAAAGGGGGGAGAGTGCCATGGGACAATGGTCTTTTATCCTGTCACTTGTATTATTTTTAATAAAATACTGACTGGTCAGTATCCAGGCAGGAAGTATAGGTAGGGCAACCAGGCAGGAAGTAGAGGTGGGGCAATGAGAAATCTGGAAAAAAGGAAGTTTAAGTCCACAGTCATGACCCAGCCTCAGAGGAAGCAAGATGTGACTGGCTCACCAAAAAGGTACTAAGCCAAGAATTATGGGCTAATGTAAGTTAAAAGAATTAGTAAATAAGAAGCCTGAAATAAGAATTAGTAAATAATGGGCCAATCAGTTTATATTTAATGTAGACCTCTGTGTGATTCTTTGGGACTTAACAGCTGCATGCCTGGGCAGGACAGAAAACCTTAGTCAACAGTGGGGACTTCCTTATCTTGCTAGAGCTGGCATGTCACCTATGGGTTACCCATGTACTCAGCTTCACTGACCCATCCTCTGTGGAAATCTCTTTTGTCCACCAGAGCAGAGTGTGAACTCAAGTCCCTAGGGAGAGATGGAGGTACTGTACCAGAAAACCCTGCACCACTCACCACAGCGGGAAGCAAGGGATCAGATACAGATCTCCCCAGCCCCCCTATATTCTTCTACCACCCCTGGGAGTCATTCTTCTGTGCACTCAACTCCCCAGGGCACTCCAGCAACCTCATGAAACAGCTGGCTTTGGTGCCGCGTCAACAGCTCTGGTACAGCATCAGGCACAGTCGCTGTGCTCAAAGAGCACAGCTCACAGTCCCAGGGTCATGTGGCAAGCCAGTGGAAAATAAGATACTATTTGGGAGCACTCCATGGGCCTTCCCACGTTCCCTGCTCAGGGGTTGCGTGTTAGGATTTGTTTTGTTTATTTGATGAATCTCTGACAGCCACAGGGGAAAGATTTTTTTTTTTTTTTTTTTTT